ATCATTATTATTATTTCAAATGGCAGGTGTTTTGAATAGCTATCATTAGCCGTTTAGCTGACTACGGGATTCACAGAGGGAGGAACATCAGAGTGGGAAAATTCGAGAGGGGGAACAAAAGAGTGATTCACAGATGTGGAAGAGACAGACAAACACAAAGGTAGGGACAAAGGTGAGATGAGTACTGTGGAAGTTGTGGAATATGACATACAATGGGGTGTTGGTAGTTTGAAGTCAGAAGTCAACTACCGGTTAATAGACTTTTTTTGCCGTATGAGTATACGTTGTACAGGGTGCACTACGTGGAGGTTGTAAGTACACGTTGCCCAGGGTGCACCACGTGGAGGTATGCCGTATGAGTATACGTTGTACAGGGTGCACTACGTGGAGGTAAGTCTATCGCACACCCCACTTAATGCATCATTGCAACCCACGTCATTTCGAATCTATCATTAAGTAATACGACGAAATTTACACAACGATGAAATAACATTGGATTGAAAGTGAAGTCTGCGGGAGAATTCCTGGAGGTGGGGCATTGATTGTTGTCTGTAGGGTCGCTCAAATTCAAGATGTTACGCAGACAAATGAAGTAGAAGTTGCAAGCCTTGCTTTGGCACACAAGAAAAAATTGCCTTTCGCTTAAATGTGAAAAAAAAATGAAAAATGAAGACTGCTCTTATTTGCAATCATGGGCATTTACCCAATACGCCAACACTCAGTTTTAGAACAATCTCATTTCAATCTCTGTTTCTCATTGCAAATTGTGCTTGGCAGAAAGTTCTGAAGATTCACCTAGTTTCTGATGATTCACGAGTCATCTTGTCCTTAATTTGGGGGGGGGGTGTTTGGACCACACCCAATTCAGTTAGAACCATGCGTTTGTGAAAGTAGTCATAAAGGCTCAGAATTTAAATTTTTAGATATTGCTAATGGTGTATCTAAACCCCAAGTTTATAAAATCACATTACTTTGGCATAATTTTATTCCGTTAATCCGTATACCTATACTGCATAATATTTTTAGATGCTGTTACACTTCAACACTTTTAGAAATCGTGATTATCAACTAAGGCAAGATGACAACTTATAACTTTTCCTAAGTGGAAGCATTGTAAATCGATTAACAGGAAAATAAATTAAGGGAATTCAGGAGGTGAGTATCGGGAAGACGTTGAGTCAGCGTATCAGAGGTCTTACTTCATCGGATTGTTGTATTTAAACCATCACATGGTTAGCTCATTTTTTCTTTCTCAGAATTTAGTTGACATGATCAATGACTAATTGAGTAATAAAGAAGATTGGCCTGACAGCTTCAATTCATCATCCACCCTCCTCTATTTCATCAATAGGCGCAATTAATTGTTTACTAAATAGATAAGAGGCCTTAAATTTATGGTGCAATTTAAGTAAAGTTCACACGTATAGCTGGGGTTAGATGTGAGCGATCCAAATGTGGAGAATTTTCTTTAAAACATGTAAAGTACTACATTGGTTTATTTGTTGTAAGAGCTTGGTTATGACAAATGACATTGAAAGGCCCATATCTTTCTCTTTGCTTCCATGCACTTCCATAAAGTCCAAATTTACGATACAGAGCACTTCGAACAACAGCTAAATATTATGGTACTTGAAACAACTCAGGACATAAAAAAATCATATTATCCATAAAGGGCTTCTGAGAATTATAACTCAGAGATATTAGAAAACATATATCCACATTACTAATAACGTGTATTGAATTTTTTATCTTTTTGTACCAATAGGGAGAGATTTAAGTGACATTTGACTCAGATAGAGAAGGTGAATTCAGAGTTTGTCAAATAAGGCAGATCCATTCAACCGTCCATGGCTTTTTTTCAGAATTAGCACCCTACCACCTCCCACCCCCTCTGATCCGGAAGTCGTGCAGGCTGAACACATCATTGACAGAGGGTATACTAGATAATTATGGTTTCGAAGGTTGAATAAATTTGGGATGATGTAGAATGAAGATCCCAAACAGATCGACTGTAAGTTGCTTAGACTCTATCGAATAGGGGGTTTTGAATATATATTCGGTAAAAATGATGTCCTCAAATGCAAAGTGTAGGGCAAATAACCACTTCCCACAGTTTCAATTTTCCATTCACCATTTTGTGTAAACGATAATCTAGAGCAAAAAATTGATACTTTAATAGCAACTAATCAGTTACCTAAAACAGTGAAAACCGTTGCCGTTTTTAAACGAAACAGGCCAATAGTCACATTGCAAAAGAAAGTGTGCGTGGGTGAAGAGGACGGGGGGGGGGAGAGAAAGAGGGATTCGAATATCCGTAAATAATAAAATAAAATTAAAAATCTTGTTTATTGGCATCCTTATTTATTATAAGGAGTAAAGTTATCATATTAGCAATATTTTCGTAGGCGGCATTGTTATTAATTGAATTATGGGTTTCTAGGTAGGCTCATGACCATGATGTCCAGATTTTGGTAATAAGTTTATATACTTAGGTGATGGTTGATAGTGGTACTTTGGTTCATTTAAAGCACTGATTCTGATTAGCACTGCTTCTCATAACCACAAACATGCATATCGATTGTTTAAATGAACGAAGTCCAATTTTCATTTATTGCCCAAATGCAAACATGGTGATAAATCCTAACAAATTTTCCCCACAATGTCGGAAATCGTAATAATCTGGCTATTGACAGTCATTAGTTCACTTTTAAAGCTACAAAATTTAAAAAAAGCAAACAAAAAGAACGTGTCATGAAAGTGGATTTTCTGGTGACTCGAAAAATGAGAGGCATTAATTGTTAGCCTTTTTTCTGTCCATTAATTGGCCAAATGGTGTCAAGGCAACTTTTCCAGTTTTGCCTGCAATCCCCTCACGAAACGGTCGAAATTATTGTGCTCATACTTCAAAGCCATGAAGCATGCTCCCTGGAAAGAAGCCTTATATGTTTGGGATTTAATGAGCTTGATGTACATTTTGCATGTAACTTAGTCGAATGCAGATTCAAATGGGCTGAAAGCAAACATTTTGCGTGAATGAAACTCGCGTACGTGATTCTAATATAAATGAAAGCGACACTGCCATTTATTTTTTTTCCTAATAATGGGAAAGATATGCGTGCCAATACATATATCCAGCATTTATCAATCATTCAAATGATAACAACTACACAATATATGGGTAAGAATATCTTCAGAGGAACTACAAGGGGCGATAGTCTGCATATGTGTAGGGACCTTACGGTATTGATACTCATTCGTGGGAAATACTTCTCATTGATCCTAGTTTTATAACTTACAGCGCTGTTATTTAAAATCATTGCTTTACAATCCCCCCTCCCACCCATCTATAAATCATTCTTAGCTTTCTAGATCCAGGGCAAGCACTTGCATAAGTAGTGTTCTCTAGCTATACTCCCTCTTTCCTTCCTTTCAAGAGATAAAATCGCAAAGGTTCGTAGAGCAGGTAAGTAACTTTTCCCTACCTTTCACAAGTGACTGTAAACTATTGGTTCCCAACGCATGAGAGGTCTGTCACCCCCCCCCCCTCCCCACCCCCAATCAACCTACTCGTCCTCCTATCTGCATTATTATGAATGATTTCTTATTTAGAAGGCTCTGATAAATAGAACAAAAGCCACAGGAAGCCTTATTTTCATTGACAGATGGCAAACTATCGATCTCGGTTTATAATACGGCAAGTAAACTGATCTCTCTGAAAGAGAGCTCTTTTAAGTCGCCCTTGCAAGTAATCCCATTGCCTGAACTTTAATTATATTAGGCAGTAATTTAAGCCTTAAATAGCTGCCAAACCTAAAATACTAGTGATCTGTGATATTAATTCTCGAAAACAAAATAATATTTTCGGATCAAATTCGGTTTGAATACGAGTATATAATACTTTCAATTCCCAGGGAGATCTGCCAATTGCATCCTACAAAACTCAGGGCAATGCGCAAATAGTAGATAAAAAAGGGCATAAAACGAAACAGCTATCTTATCAACTTACTCATAAAAGCGTGGCCCTTGGATTTTTGCAAAAAAAGTGTTTATTGTACTGGGATTATCTAAACCGCTAGAAGTATCATAGTTAAAAACAAATTAGTCAGCAATCAGTTGGTGAATCAGCCAACTTAATAAAAATTGGCCAATAAGCGTCAGATAACGAACAGAATGAATCCATGCAGAAGTCGTTTAAACATATCCGGTATCTCAGTATAGAGTCCATAAGAACATGAAGTAGTGGAAATCACAATACAACCTGTTTTTTATTAACAATAGTGTGTGAAATTCTATTGATACTCCAGCATCAACTTCTAATTTCTTCCAATTTGCTCCCTTTCAAAATCGATGCCTTCCTACGATGACGGAAAAAGAAATGACGATGATATCACTTTCGCATATTATTCTTTGCGCCAGAGCTTATGACAATTCTCTCTTAATCGAAGTGGATTGTGTGGAGGGTGGATAGACAATTGACGTCATTAAACTCAATCTGGAGGAATGACACAAAGTCCAAAAAAATTTCGAATAAATAAATTCCAAAAAGTGCGTTAAAGCTGCATTTATTGCATATTTATTTTCTATCATTGTTTTTTTATGCCTCGATTAAATTTTAATTGACTGAGATTGTGTTTTTATTTATTTCTAGCTTAAATTGAATTATATCGTTAAATATTAATTCATTCGCCTTAAATGAAAACGAGCTCTGATCATACTAATTTTTTTAAAAACAAAACAATAATTAGTTAAAATAAAGAATAGGGGCAGTGATTTCTAATGATGATTGTGATTTGGGGTATTATATGTCAGGTGTATGAAAAGCTACTCGTTCTCAAAAAGCCAATTAAGTAAATTCTATCCATTGTAGGCATCGCAGATTGGTTTTCAGTGCACAGCCCAATCATTACTTGGCAATGGCAATGCTTTAGAAGTACACCCAGCTCCTGTATTCTCAGTTGATTGTGGAAGAAAAAAATTATAAACGCGTCAATTTAACAGGAATGGCTGCTCGTGAACTCTTCAAGCCAATTTCGATTGACAAGAAGTTGGGAGAGATTTATTTCGACGAAAAATGCCTACTCAACGGTTACGAGGCCGCACCGAAGACAAATCCCTTTACCGATGCGGCGGCTGAAGCGGCTTTGAAGAAGTATCAGGATCCAAAGAAAGCGATAAAGATTAAACTCATGGGTTTGTCAGATACCCTTAGATTTGATAAGAGTTCCAAATTCAGCAAGAAGTTGCCTTATTCAAAAGTCAAGTACTCTGAGGTGAAATTCCACAAAGTCTTCAATCATTCCAAGACAAACCTAGTCCTCGGTGTTCAAGGACCAGATAAATTGAATCAATACCTTATTATCGGTTTCCAACAGCCTATCAAGGCCTCCCATCTAGATAGTCAACTTGATTACGCTGATCTGGCTCCTAAGAACAATTTGAAAAATAAGATCCCGTTATCTGATGTTTCATCTCATCGCGACCCTTCACCGGTTTATAATAACGTAACACCTCCAATAGTCAACACAGAAACTAGTCGTCGAATGTCTCAAGATTCATTTACTGGTCTGAATGGGAGAAATCAGGAAATTGCTGAAATTCAAGAGATTGGCCAACCTAAGACTAGGTACGAAATGGTAGAAATTTCAGCGGATGTAAATTCTCCGATAATGGAAAGAAATTCAATCCACAGTTCAACTTCCTCATTCTTTCAAAAACCAATGACACCTCAGTCTATTACACACACAATAACGAGTAGGTCTTCTAACCACTCACATAGTGAAACAATTAGAGATTTAACCAATCAGCGACAAGAATACTCCCCGCTATGCTCAAAATGTCGTTCAAAGTGTGAATCCCTCGTTAGCACTGCAACATCACCTCTTGCATTGCCTAAAGAAAGTTCTGCTGTTGGAAAATTCCCAACTACTAATTCCATCTCCTCGTCCTCATCGACAAAACCTCAATCTAAATCTCTTAACACTGTCTCTCGATCTAACACCGTCTCATTTAGCCGTCGATCTAGGGACAAATATCATAATAGGCGTTCGGATAGCATGACATCAACTTCGTCTCGTCATACTGTTACTACTGACGCAAGCTCACATTATGTTCTTGATGAAGAACGCGAGCTTTTTGAGCACCATCATAGGGGGTCCGCCCATATGAATGGAGGAGAGGAAAGGCCGTATCCAGCAAACGCTGATACAGTCGTTGTAAGGGCTAACTCGCCGATGTATAGGACTAATCCAAGAACTAGGTCACATTCTGGCTCAAGGCAGACAAAACACAAAAAGAAGAAGTCTAAGCATGGACACCGTGCGAGGTCAATGGTAGCAACAAATAATGTTCCAGTTCAAGAATATCGCTCTTCTCAGCAGTATGCCACTAATCAAAGCCATATGCCCATTCAAAAGAGGACTATTACTACTACTTCTTCGTCTAATCGCAATTTTGATAAACCCCTCTTCATTCTGGCATCTGGTCGTTTCAAACCTTTCTCCGAATTTTCTCATGAGCATGACCCCGAACAGCATGGGATTTGTTCAATTTGTGGGGAAGAAGGTGTTGGTGACCCAAGACAGGTTGAGATTATTCGTACTGACATTGCCAAAGGTCCAGTAATTTCTGATGAGGGGTGCGTCTATATGTATAGCGCAACTAAACCGGTAGACTATACCAATCGTAATGGAACACTCCGGAGAAGTAACAAATCAAGTAGACGTGCTCGACTGTCAGTGAGCAGTTTAGAATCAAATCATGAAAGACCTGTGCAACCTGACTTAGCGCCAATTTACCGAAGTGCAGTTCCAGTTCAAGAGGAGCAAATAACTCAGTCGCATGCTAAAAAGAAGGGGTCATTTCCATACGCTGATGAAAGGATAAAGTCTTATCAAACATCTAATGAAAACTCTATTTCCAGCAAGACTAGGAAAGACCCAAGAATTCTTGTAGGCGCTGTACCAGTTTACCGGAATACTTCTCCCAGTGATCCTAACATTGCTGATGTGATTATCCCCATCGAGTTGTCAAGACAGCGTAATAAGAATAGGCGATACAGCCACAGCCACAGTCACAGCAGACATAGCTCCATGTCAGAGGGGGAGAATATCGTTAGGCCTGTGGGATCTGTGAGCTATGAGGAAATTCAACTCTCTTCTGACCATTATGCCTCGCACGATTCTGGAAGTCGTAGGAGCAGTGGGAAAAAGAAAATCTACAGAATTGAAAGTAGTGACAGTGACTCCTCAACTGTTTCTGATATAAGCAATCCGCGTCTCACTGGTAGCATCAAGGTGAAACCCCTTCATTACTGAGATCTCGGCGACAACTCAAGCCTCTCTTCTTCTTCTCAGACTCCCTTCCTACTAGCGCTATGTCTACCATTGAACGCCCAACGTCTCACAAAATCTTATAATGAATATCTCCATGTTCGTGCACAATTGACGACTACCCTAAAAAGAGACTTCAAATTTCTGCGCCTTCATTTACTGGACTTCAAATGAGTTTTGAAATTATCTCCACTATGTTATGTCAATTTTTTTTCTCAAATATTTGTTGTTTTTTTTGATGTATTTTATTTGGAGTCATGAAAGTATAATTGATGAAGAAGTAAGAGAGAAAGGGGTAATTGATGAGATTTTATAATTACATTTGTTAGGTTTTAGAGGCAAGAAAATCCAGCCTACTCGTTAATGTATCTCAATTCATTTTGTTCAGTTAATTTTGAGACAAAAGGTCTCTGTATACTGTGTCTCATTTGGGCGATTGTTTAATTGGGATTTACTTAATTGACATAGATGGGGCAGAAAGGAATTAGTATATATTCATTTCCAATAATTAATCATCCCCCCAATTTAACTTTCAATGCTATTGAGAAGATCACGTGAAGTCATTGGGGTTTACTGAATTAAATAGCAATTCCGACCACTAAACGTCGTAGAGCCTTCATCACCTTCGAGGGAGCGGCTGGTGGAGGCTGTGGGACAATATTTGAAACTGGAGTTGGACAATCATTATTATGGGAAACGGAATGTCCGCTTAGGACACCAAAGAGCATAGCATTCATATTTGAAGGAAAAACCATCTAGGAATAGTGGAATGTGAACATTTTAAACCATCGGATTTTAAGGGAGGAGGTAAGCAAAAGCATGAGTGACAAATAAAGAGAAACGTTGGCAACTAGGATATAGGGGGGGGGGTGAAACCGTAACCTTGAGCGTTGGGGCTGCATTCATGTGGTGCTAATTTCAGTAATTGAATGAAGAGATTTTCGTGACTTTATTTATTTCTTTCTCTATTTAAACATTCCTTTCCATCTTACAATTGTTTCTGAAGGTAGGATTTATGTAAAATTAGTTTTTTCAACCCACTGAGCATCCTTGAAGTTGGTGTGATCAAATGAAATCATGCATAGAGCATTCCAAAATATGAGAAGGGTGACTGCATGCTCATTATCTCATTTGCAGGCTCGTTATGTCCGACTGAATGACCTTTCAGCAAAAGGGGTTGAGGAGAGTTGGAATGGTAGTTAGTGCAAATATTTAAACATAGGAACATTGCAATTTCTTTTCAATCCCCTCTTCCCCTCCTTCATTGAACTACTACTAAAAAATTTACCTCTATCCTGTTTTTTGCTACTATGCTTATATTGGTTTGACCTTCCTTACGTGGGCAATCAAATAGATTTCCTGAGGAATTAAGTAATAGGAAAGTGAAGAAACCAAGTAACCGGAGATGTCTATTTCGGAATGATGTAGTTGCAAGTTCAGTAATCTTCCATCTATTGCAAAATATCAAGTAAGGAGAGGTGTTATAAAAATGTTCAGCCAGCAAACCACCAGTCACCATGAGGCACCAAAAAATAGCTAATACAATCTTTGCAAAGTATTTCTTAATTACGTAATGCCAATTAGTTAATAGTAGCGTCATCAATATGGGTTACGAACAAAACCGAGCAATTTCATATTTATTCATTTAAATGATAGGCAGTTGGATTGGGAAAGAGATAGTGGAACACATGCCAACAATGCAAAATTTTGGAATAAAATTTCCTTCTTATTTTTACGACAAGAGTGAATAGATACTCTTTAATGCACAGAGAAATGGAATATGGGACTTGAGAGAAAAGTATGTGCGTTTGAAACTATGAGCAACCTCATTGCTTCGTCTTAAAAGGCTTTGAACCGCTGGAATTAGTACGATCATTTTGTCGTCTCAAACAATGAACTGGAGTGGTAAGACCATCTATTATGAAAACGTTTAAAAAGTTTTGAACTTCGTGGACAAGCGTTTGAAAGAATCCGAGTGACCAATGATAAGTGTTGAATTTGACAATTTGAACTACCGAGTTAAGAAATACAGCACTACTCGGATGCACATTGAGAACATTGTGATAGCTGATTTCATTTGTTAGCCGTATTAAAATGAATAATTTTCAATCTTAACATGAGTAATGATACAGAGTAATACTCAAAACATAGGCTGTGAATGGTCCCAAATACGACCAATAGCCATTTTCCTACCTTGAGACTATGAGACGTTATTTAATTGTTGAGTTAAAAGCATTCGAGTGGTAGTTATTACCATAAAACCAGTCTCTAACCACTCCCAAATTAAATTTCCCATATTTCAAAACAATTAAGTCATGAAACCTATGAGAAAATTCAAGATCAAATCGCCAGGAAAGTGTGTAAATAGAGGTTGAATAATTTATTTTACCACCAATTTTCATGTTCTTTTTGAGTTTATGCAGGAGTCAAATTGAGGAAGCATTAGGCGATTAGGCGATTGAAGCTAATATCACACACTGAAACTATCACGTTTCAATTATTACTTCTTGTTAAGCAAATAAATTTTCCGGTTTATTAGAAATCCCAACTGTAGAATAGTAGTGCTAGCGATAATTAAATTTTGGTTGATTTATGAGGTTGTGAAGGGTGCTGGGACTCCATTGAAGCCAAACATTATTATTACTTTAGAAGTCTGATGATATATATATATATATATATATATATATATAAACAAAATTGGGTAGAATTTTGCTACAATTCATGCCATTTCCTTGAAATTTATGAAACAAAATCTTAATTTCATAATATTCGAATTTATGCTTACATCCACACAAAAAGGAAAATTTTTTTAATAATGCGTCATGTGTTTGTAATCGCCTTAAGTTACGTTACCACTGCACCTACCCTGCCCAGAAATTGTCAGATGCTGAGTAATCGGAGAAAAAACACGTCAACGTACTTATCTTTCAAAACAAATTACACCAAATACTAGTTAAAATTACGCAAATATAAAATTGAATAAATAACACCACTTAGTAATTTATTTACTGAAGAAGGCAAATATAGTTGAGAAGAAAAATCGATAGCTAAAAGAATTTCAGTTAAGTAAGACTGACTGTTAAATTACCGCGCCACTTGTACCAACTAGAAGCCAAATTTGGTATTGTTGAGGTGTGACTTAATGGAATCAAGAGATGAAGCGAGAAGACCTTTCATTAATTTAATGAAGGCTAGTTACACTACAAATTCTTCTGCTTCTACTTGATGTTTAAAAGTCGGTACGATAATAATTAATGTCCAAATAACTAATGACCAGTGAATGATGGGCTATTCGAAGATTCTAGCCCCGTCTGTCAACATTTTGTCAAAAAGTACTTGTGATTTCCCCACGAAAGAGTTAGCCACATTCACCATAGACCCACCAATATGGTAACGTGAATACTTTGGAAGTGATTGAATATGGCATACAGTCGGGTCGTGATAGTTTGAAGCCAACTGTTGGTTTACAGACTTTTTGCTGAATAAGTATATTTCGTCCAGAGTGCATCATGTGGAGGTAAGTCTATTGCGCACCCCTCGTTTAAACATCTTACTAATAAAATCGATTGCTCGCTTTAATAATGCCTTTTTATCGCACGAAATATTAATTAAATCTACTTTCCTTTTATCATTAATCATCTTAAAATAAGTCTGAAAAAGACTTTTGTCAATCAACTCATCACACTCCTTCCCAAATGCTTTTTATGCTTTCGTCTCACGATGGTAATGGAGCGTGTTGAAATAAATCGATTTTCGCATATAATGCAGACTAATGGAGTCTATTAATAATATATATAATATTATTTTTCCCATATTAAAATGTCGTATACCAGATATAATTTGAACACAAGTGTCCAGCTTTCTGAATAAATTACTAACCTACTAAAGAGAATAATTCGGTGTCAAATAAGGTGATTAATTCAAATTTCAAGTTGTGAATTTGCCATCACTGACATTTTTAGTCAAATCCTGTCTTTAAAGACACTTTAGTGGAGCTATTAAAGACGAAGATTTCTATTCATCTGAATTCGTTCATTTGGCCTTTACCGAGTTTTTATTATAAAATTGCATCACAACACATGTCTACGTACTCTGATCTTCTAATTGTAAAGATTAATCATACACATTGCTTTTTATACCATATAAATGGTAAAATCTTCAAGATACATGCGATAAAACTTTGAAACATTTTCACCCCATATCTTTTTTTTTGTTTATTTAAAATTTAGCACAAAAGAACTTTAATCTTAATGCTGCTCAACTTTCAGTGCCTCAATTTTATGTGAAATACGATTTCCAAGTGTGCTACTGCGTTTTCTCTGAAGGTCGTAATTTTAATTTAGCTATTAGGGATTTAACTATTACCCAAAGTGCGTTGTTTTGTGAATATAGTTTCCCTAAAAGATTGATGTGTCTATTCATCAGTCCTGTAAACTCGTAGATAGATAAAATGGCGGCGTGTTAGGAAAGAATAAATGTACATGGAACATATTCCATTAGACCTCCAAACACTTGTTAGCACGGAGGTAACAAAATCAGTGAGTAAAATTTCTTGAAAGTTCTAATCGTTCATGTTAGCATCGCTGTTTCGTTCTGGTAAAGTGATTTAACTGAATTTGACACATGTGCTTGACTGCATAACCTATTACCTATCACATCATAAATTGTAAAAGTGCACTTAATCTATTTCATCTAACATTAAAATGTGATAGAACGGAATGAAAGTGAGGGAGATGGATGGGGAGAAATTCTGCTGCTTCTTTGCTGTGAGCAAACAAAGAAAGCTATTTTCACACACACAGTTTGAAATGTAGAAAAATTAACTAAATCTTTGATTGATGTGGCGGCACGATTCACACATGTTGACTAATAGATAAATTAAATATAACCAATATCACCGCACTTTGATACATCACTATTTTTGCATTTTTAACTAAAATAGTCTTCTCCACACGGTTGTTCACTGAAAAAACTCTGGAAAAAAACTAATCTTACATGGGAATTTGTTACATTTACGCGGCAAACTATTTTTAAAACGTGGGTAGCAAACTCGATTGTTTAACGAAGCACTGGAGGGCAATTAATCATTGAATAAGTTTATTACTTTCTACTAAAATACTATCAGTAGGAAAGTACTTTTATGAATGGTAAATGGATATAAGCCTTCAATGCATTTCTAAAACCCTTAATATTACATTGTCACGGTATTAAAGGGGGGGGGGTTTAAGTCAATTTCCGATTTTCTTTAGCCCCTTAAAACATCCATTAACGTGTTCTGTTCCTACAAAAAAATTAGTCTCATCGATTTTCATAATCATTAAATCATGGCCATCTGGTCAAGCTATTTATAATAAATTTTAGATGCGTAATTTCTTATAGAGACATGGATGGTCGATATAAAAAATTTATTTAAATGAGGAAATTTTCGGATTTTATTATTAACAATTAAAGTCAACTGAAATTTGTTGACATGAATTTCAAAGGATACTAGGCAAAATGTTACTGTTGGTTTGTAATGTACAACGCGACCAATCCCAGAACAACTTGAATAGTTCGGCTACGCGCGTAGAATCTCCCAAACCAATCAGTAATTGAAATTGTGCAACGTAGAATAACATTTCTGAGTCCTTCTAACAAATTGTAGATAGAGTTATTGCAATGTTTCCCACCAGTGATTTCATTTATTGACTGGGCCCTGTTTGAGATGCATTATATCCACTCATTTCGCTCGGTATTTTATCTGCTATGGCCTCTGCTTATCTGATTAATTTATTTGGGGTGGAGTGGGAGGGGGGGGGAAGATTTCATGCATCAAAATTTTGGTAGAGGCGTGTTGTATTAGTTTGAGTCCGGTTGGACTTCCTAGTTGATTTTTAAGGTGCAGTCAAAAGCTTAGTTGTGCAGTA